TGGGCAAGGGTGAGAACAGGGATAAAGACTATTGAGGGGTTCAACTCGTCGGAAGATGATGAAGAGTAGAAGGGTTGTAGGAAAGTGGGAGGATGGTTTTCTTAATTTTTGCAGCTTGTTCGGAAAAAGAGGTTTTCTAATGAGTAGTTGGTTTTAGCAGGCTGGCAGTTTACTCAGATTTTCTAAAAAATCTTGGTTTGTTCTCAGATTCTCTCAGGTGAAGCCGGGTATCGGTCCCAGTGTTTCAGTGCTTGTAATTTCATATGGGACGCTGGGCCCGTCTCACAGCACATGCTTCTCCCCACGAATAGATTGCAGCTTTTGACCCCCCCCCACCCCCCAAAAAAATAAAAAAAATAAATAAAAAATGAGCCTTACGTCTGACTGATCTGGCTGATCATGAGACAGTTTAAGGACAGCCCCCAAGGTCCTCAGGAATTATTTAACGTTGCAGACAGGACAACGATCACGCCAGTGTACAGTTCAGAACCCCTCCAGAAATGATTATAGACGGTCTGGTAAGCGTCTGCATAGGACTGGTCAGTCCACGATCCCTCTATCAGCGCAGCAAAGAGCCTTAAATGACAAAGCAGCATGGCCTGCGTGTACTACTCCCATGGGTTGGCATGGTGACCGTGACCCGTGCTTCGACCAGGGCCCTTCAGAGGCACCGCCATCTCCTGCCAGATGCGCCACCAGGAAGAATGTCGTCTCTCAAGGTAGAGCGCTCACGGCTCCTCACTGAAGAGAGGACACTCAAAGTTGGACTCACTTCCTCACGGTATGAAGAGATTGAGAGGGAAGATAAGGTAAGGGATCAACGTACCTGGAGATAGCTGCCCCCAACCATAGATTTCTCACCAATTGAGCCAATGTGCATTTCGATGACCAGTCGTAGCTTCGGTACCACCCACAACGCACATCAGCATGCTCTCATCATCACACATACATCCGCTGTTGCCACAGCTCCCACGCTGTCGCCATAGCCTTCATGCGACTCACCCCTCTACCCGGATGTCGCATTAACAAGCCACCGCCAATGTTTCCTCACTGCACAGAAGCATCGTCAGCGCACCAAGTAACAATGTCGCCGGCGGCAGATAAGGTGATCTCAAACCAGCTCCGATATGAGCGAGAGCGATATACAGAAAACCAAGTTGCAAAATCATGCAAAAGTCCAGATTGTCATGTAACAAGCAGAGAGCTCAGATGCACCAAGATTCCATCCAAATAAGAGCAATACAATGAACTCGTGAGCCAATGTTCAAGCCCTCAGGCCACACCAACACAGTATTCAATGCCGCTCCTCTTGTATGGCGCCCACTGCCCAGCCTACTCTACTCGTCCTACCTAGCCTATCTACATTCATGCAACAGGCTCACTTCGACTTTGAAGACCAATGTACATGACGTCAACACCAATTCCGACCTCCCACATACACCAGGTACGTACTCTCGACTCCCCTCATCACCCTTGTCCACCCACACCTGCACCTCCTCCTTAAGACATCACCTCCACTTGTTCCCGCGCCCTGCAGCCCGGCTATGGCCGCTACCGCCCCGCTGCCCTGCAGTGCCCCTCACCGCTCAGCGCCCGCGCGTGCCCCAGCCAGTGCTAGCACAATGCGGACACTTGCGCTGAATCGCAGCAGCGTGTCCACATTGCCTGCCTAGGCCAGAATACCGGAGCCTGGCTGGCCTCCTCCCTATATGGGAGATGCTGCTGCTGGCCTGGCTGTGCCTGGCCGTGGAAGCTTCCAGTAGCTTCTGGTCGGACCCCAGTAGCTGCGCCCAGGCCCATCTCTACAGTTGAGGGCCGGGGCCCTTTTCAGTTGGGCATACCCAGGATTATCCAGGCTCCGAATGTTTGCTGTGTTTGCATTGGCCCGCGGGATAGATGTGACAACAATGCTGCATTCTCATTGGGCCGTGGCCACTTCGTGATGTGTCGGCCTCACGCTGCGTGTGCTCAGGGCAACCACCTGCGTCCTGGGCTCAGTTGCCTGACGCAGCTGATTCTTCTGGAAGAGCCCAGGGTGAGGCCCAGGTTGCACTTCAACCAACTGGCGTGCAGCAACTGTTTGAGACCCATATTGGAAAATGCTGAGATAAGGGCCTCTCGTCTGTGTGAGGACGCCGCCCGGCCAGGCCTGCCCTGCTGGGCTGGGCCCCGGGGGGGGGCCCGGGTAAACCGGCCGGG